ACTTCATCTGGTACACAGGCTGAGACCTTACTTGACTGCAGACTGTCTCATCAGAGGTGCTAATCCAGAATGCGGCAGCTAGACCGGTGACTGGGAGTGGCTGCGAAGACCACATAACACCAGTCTTGAAAGACCTACATTGGCTCCCAGCACGTTTCGGAGCACAATTCAAAGTATTGGTGCTGACCTTTAAAGCCCTAAATGGCCTCAGCCCAGTATACCTGAAGGAGCGTCTCCACTCCCATGCGTCTCCACTCCCATCGTTCTGCCTGGACACTGAGGTCCAGCGTTGAGGACCTTTGGCAGTTCCCTTGCTGCAAGAAGCCAAATTACAGGGAACCAGGTAGAGGGCCTTCTCGGTAGTGGCACCTGTCCTGTGGAATGCCCTCCCACCAGATGTCAAAGAGAAAAACAACTACCAGACTTATAGAAGACATCTGAAGGCAGCCCTGTTTAGGGAAGCTTTTAATGTTTGACGGACTATTGTATTTTAATATTTTGTTGGAAGCCGCCCTGAGTGGCTGGGGAAACCCACACAGATGGGTGGGGTATAAATAATAAATTATTGTGATTATTACTGAAAGTCACATATTTGTTGTCTGGTTTGAGAAATCTGTGACAAAGTTGTGAGATCTGCAGTTGCTGCCCCCAGACTGAGAAAGTTCATTGAGGAAAACATGGTGGACTGTAAATATTTAATTGGGAATGAAATCTAAAAACTTATTTGTATGTGTGTGTGTGTGTGTGTGTGTGTGTGTGTAATATAGGCTGATACTGTATTTTAAAGCTGTACAGTGGTACCTCGGGTTAAAAACTTAATTCGTTCTTGGGGTCTGTTCTTAATCTGAAACTGTTCTTAACCTGAAGCACCACTTTACCTAATGGGGCCTCCCGCTGCCGCGCGCCGCAATTTCTGTTCTCATCCTGAAGCAAAGTTCTTAACCCGAGGTACTATTTCTGGGTTAGCGGAGTCTGTAACCTGTAGCATCTGTAACCCGAGGTACCACTGTATTTATGTATATATTGCATATGGCCATAATGGTTCAGTCAACAATAAACATGTACAGCTTGTAGGCTTTTGCAGATACAGTTACGTTCAGATAGATGCAGTGTATAGGCAAAAGTCAGTAACAACAAAATAGTATTTCTCATGCCTTAACATGTTAGAAGCTGATTGTTTACTGCCGCAAAATGCTGCATTTGGCTGTATACCCCCAAACACCAGAGGAGCTATGACATTTGTGTAGCAATAATAATAATTTATACACCGCCCATCTGGCTGGGCCTCCCCAGCCACTCTGGGTGGCTCCCAACAGAATATTAAAAGCACGATAAAACATCAAACGTTAAAAACTTCCTTAAACTTGGCTCCTTCAGCTGTCTTCTAAAATTCAGATAGTTGTTTATTTCCTTGACATCTTATGGGAGGCCGTTCCACAGGGCGGGTGCTACTACCAAGAAGGCCCTCTGCCTGGTTCCCTGTATCCTCTTTTTGCAGTGAGGGAACCGGCAGGAGGCCCTCGGAGCTGGACCTCAGTGTCCAGGCTGAACGATGGGGGTGGAGACGCTCCTTCAGGTATACTGGGCTGAGGCCAATTTGGGCTTTAAAGGTCAGCACCAACACTTGGAATTGTGCTTGGAAACGTAGTGGGAGCCAATGTACGTCTTTCAGGACAGGTGTTATGTGGTCTCAGTGGCCAGTCCCAACTATATTTTGGTGCGTGGGGGAAAAAATCATGTGACACAAGCCCTACCTGTGTGCACAATAAAAAAAAAATTTATGCCGTTACCTAGTTTTATTTTGATCTCCGGTCAGGACCTCCTTCATGAATTTCCACATCGTGTGTGCTATTCTAAGCCGGGAAACCAAGGTCCCTCGTGGAGGTTTGTTTCCCTGTGTGCATGCACCATTTTAGAGGCACACTTGGAAAGGACTCAGTTGGATCCAAAATAGCCAATCCAAACTCAAGATTCTGTCAGGTATTCTGTCATTTGAAAATATTTAAAGCACTCATCTTTTTACAGCCTCTGGACCTCTCTTCTCAGCTGATTTCACAAAATATGTGCATCTTTAATTTTTTTTCCTAATTCTGATTTCAACCAGGATCTTTGAAACAATTGCAGTTCCTTGCCTCTTAATGCCGCCTGCCTTTTAGAATTTATAACCATGGCAACCCCTTTGTAAGCCGCCTTGGCTCTCGGTCTGGGAAAAAGGCGGGATATAAATAAGTAGAATACTAAAGGTGAGGATAAAGCTGCTCTTGAACTCGGATCTTGCTTGGAGCACCTGCGGAGGAGGGATTCTGTCCTGGGGGCGCCGCTGGCCTGATCCTGCAGCCGGGTTTCCCCTTCCTGCTTCAGAGCCGGAGACCAGCCGGGCGCTCCTCCTCCTCTCTGCCCGGAGCAGCCAAGAGGCTCCTACCCCGCGGCTCCGCAAGGGTTAACTGGGCGATAGAGCTTCTATTCCTAGAGCGGAAGGAAGACTGGCGAGAGAGGAGGCGCTTCCGCTTCCTGTTCCGCTTCCCCGGGTTGATGCTGTCCTCCTGGAGGCGGGTAACTGGGGGGAGTGGGCCGAGCCAGGGGCGGAATTGGGGGGCGAGAGGGAGGGAGCCGCGTCCCTCCTGGGGGGAACTAGGGCGACGGGGAAAGGTCGTCTTCTCCTGGGAGGGGAAGCGGGAGGCCGAAGCGACGCTCTCTCGCTGGCCTTGACCGGCCTCTGGCCTCATCCTGCGGCCTTTTCTCCCGCTCCTCTGTCCAGAGAACGCAGAAGGAGCGCCCAGCAAAGGCCGCAGGGCAGGGAATGGGGAGGAATGGCAGGGAGTAAACAGGGAGTCAGGAGAGTCTCCTGCCAGCCAGGGAGGAGCAGGAGGAATAATTATTATTTTATTCCTTCATACCCCGCCCATTTAGCTGCGTTTCCCCAGCCACTCTGGGCAGCTCCCAACAGAAAATTAAAAGCACTATAAAAGATCAAACATTAAAAGCTTTCCTGAACGGGGCTGCCCTCAGATGTCTTCTTAAAGTCAGATAGTTGTTTATTTCCTTGACATCTGATGGGAGGGCTTTCCACAGGGGGGGCACTACCAAGAAGGCCCTCTGCCTGGTTCCCTGTAACCTCGCAGGGAGGGAACCGAGAGGCCCTTGGAGCTGGGCCTCAGTGTCAGGACTGAGCGATGGGGTGGAGATGCTCCTTCAGGTATACTGGCTGAGGCCATTTAGGGCTTTAAAGGTCAGCACCAACACTTTGAATTTTGCTCGGAAACATACTGGGAGCTAATGTAGGTCTTTCAGGTCTTAGTTGGCTGCTGCTCCCAGTTACGAGTCTAGCTGCTGCATTCTGGATTTGATCTAGTTTCCGGGTCACCTTCAAAGGTAGCGCCCCATAGAGTGCAGAAGGAGCTGCAGACTCTATGGCAGGAGAGGATCCTCCTCAGTTAAGACTCTTTAGCATTTTATTGTATCGAAGGCCATAGGTCCACTGCAAATTAAACCATGAGAAAAAACTTTTCCTCTGCAAAATGTACGTACTAAACATATATCATTAAAAAAGGTGGGCCCCTGGGGATATAACTGGCCATCTGCAGCTGTAGTAATTTTATCTTATGTTCAAGATTTCTAAACAGCTAATTCAAAAGGTCTCTCAAGTGGCACAGTGATCCAATGGGAGCTAGAACACAACTAAAACCCACAAACCAATTTAGAAACCAGTATGCATAAGCCATCATTGAAAAAATTATCCCTCTCCACTTCCCATTTTGCCTCTTGGGCAGCATGTATGGTCTTTACACACTTGAGGAAGGAGGGAGTATGGGGTGGGACAAAACACTCATTTCCCCCAGTCTTAAATTTAGTTATCCAGATTTTCACATCTTATTAAAAAAACAAATAAACACTGAAGGTAAAATCTCCAGTTGCCCCATCTATCATCGGAGGGGGAGCTGAGGGGAGATGGTTTCCACACCTTGCCTTGGAGTGTCTATAAGGAAGGGAATTGTTCTGTCCTTCCAGGGATCAGTGAGCTTTGACAAGTGTCCTTGCATTTCGCTGACGACAACTGGGCCCTACGGAGAGCTCTGTACAAGGACGTCATGGTGGAGGTTCATGAGATGGTGGCCTCTCAGGGTAAGGATCCTTTTCGCCTTCGTTAATAGTTATAATAGGTATGGGTTCCTCGGAGTGCCTCCCTTCAGCTCCGCTAAAGGAGGTCACCGTGTTTGTTTTTCTCTTAAGTTAAAGGCCAGAAGCCTGGCTGAGAATAAATATTATTGCTTCTCTGCTACAATTAGCGAGTGATGGCTTCTGGGTTGCCTCCCTGGCGGACAGCATTCTTTAGGTGCGGAGCCAGCACTGAAAGACGCATTCCGTATTGCCTCTCTTTGCACCTCAGTTGGAGAGGGCACTGTGAGAAGGACCTCTGATGATGAGTGCAGGCTCTAGGTGGATTCATGAGAAGCAGTCCTTGAGGTAAAGGTAAAGGGACCCCTGGCCATTAGGTCCAGTCGTGACCGACTCTGGGGTTGCGGCACTCATCTCGCTTTATTGGCTGAGGGAGCCGGTGTACAGCTTCCGGGTCATGTGGCCAGCATGACTAAGCCGCTTCTGGCGAACCAGAGCAGTGCATGGAAATGCCGTTTACCTTCCCGCCGGAGCGGTACCTATTTATCTACTTGCACTTTTGACGTGCTTTCGAACTGCTAGGTTGGCAGGAGCTGGGACCGAGCAACGGGAGCTCACCCCATCGCAGGGATTCGAACCGCCAACCTTCTGATCGGCAAGTCCTAGGCTCTGTGGTTTAACCCACAGCGCCACCTGCATCCCTTCAGTCCTTGAGTTACATAGGTCAAAATCAGCACCTTGAATTGAAGACAGCAACCCAGAAAAGGTTTTATGTGCTCAGAGCATCTTGCACCGGTCATCACTCTGTAGTTTCTGAACGGTCTTCTAAAGCAGCCTGAAGTATAATGCATTGTGGCAATCTAGCGTGGAGAATGGTGGAAAAAGCATACTAAAAATCTTCTGTGTGGGGGATCCTAATTTGTAGAATACTTGAGTATCTTGTTATTGTTATTGGTTTCTATTGATGTATTGGTTTGTTTGTTGCATATATATAATATTCTGTTTCTTAATATTTGAGGTTTGATTGCATTTTTATATATGCTGCAAGCCACCCAGAGTGGCTTGGGAAACCCAGCCAGACGGTTGGAATATAAATAAAATAAATGCTACTATTGTTATTATTCATTTTGGTTTTTCAACAAGCTCTGCAGATCTAGACTTTTCAAGCTTCTCTGAGTTGCAGTGCTGTATTATCAATGCTCAGGGATGGCCTCACTTCTGCCCCACAATGGGGGCTCAAAATCCATGAGGCGCATACCCCTGCAAGTTGGGTGGGGTGGTCCCCCCTCACCCCTCCAGACCTCCAAGGGGTGCAGACGCCTCTCCCCATTCACTGGCAAAGAGCCTTTTCAGATCCTGACAAAGCTGAATGGTGGAATGTCTGCCCTCTTGTGGACATGCCCTTGTTGGGGGAAGATCCTTTTCTGGACTTGGCTGGAGGGGAGAGGACTCACAAAGCTTTGCTGCCCATCCCACTTCGCCCCTGGAGGCCGGGGAGACTAGCAGCAAAGCTGAGCAGTGACGCCCCTTTGGGGGTGACACCTGAGGCAGCCGCCTCACACAGGCCCATAGGCAGGCAGGCTCTGTTGATGTTATTGCCTGCTGGTTTAAATTGTGTTATTTGTGGCTTGGTTAATCTTAGGGACTGCTCACCAGAACTTTTCTGATACAAATAACCATTGATTAAATGGTGATATTTTATTAAAACCAGGTATCACAGCATTTGTTTTTATGTAAAACGCCTTTAACATAGTGCCAGGCCTTGAGTTTTGATAAGGAAGCAGCTGTATCAACCTTTATTTTAAATTTTTTATTCCATCAGGAGATGTTTGGGGGGTCCTGGATGAGGAGGAGCCATCAGAAGTCTGGCCAGAAAGAGGTGAGGAGCAAGAGAAGGAAAGGAAGTTGGGGGTTCAAGATGGAGCCAACAAACAAGAGGGGAGAGAAACAGTGAAGCCAAGGGATGAACACAGTGTTTCCCAAGAAGATGAAAATCAGATTAACAGGGTGGAGAAAAAACATGAATGTACTGTGTGCGGAAAGAGATTCTGTAGTCGCTCAGCCCTTGCTAGACATCAAAGCGTACACTCAGGTGAAAAACCTTATGAATGCATGGAGTGTGGAAAGAGATTCAGTTACAGTGGCTACCTTACTTTGCATCAAAGAACTCATACAGGGGAGAAACCTTATAAATGCTGGGAATGTGGAAAGAGTTTCTTTGACAGTAGTACCCTTACTAAACATCAAAGAACTCACACAGGGGAGAAACCTTATGAATGCATGGAGTGTGGAAAGAGCTTCAGTCGGAGTTCCTCCCTTAATGTGCATCAGATAACTCATACAGGGGATAAACCTTATGAATGCATGGAGTGTGGAAAGAGCTTCAGAAACAGTGGCTACCTTAATGTGCATCAAAGAACTCATACAGGGGAGAAACCTTATGAATGCATGGAGTGTGGAAAGACTTTCAGTCAGAATTTCTCCCTTACTTTGCATCAAAGAACTCATACAGGGGAGAAACCTTATGAATGCATGGAGTGTGGAAAGAGCTTCAGAAGCAGTAGCTACCTTAATGTGCATCGAAGAACTCATACAGGGGAGAAACCTTATAAAGGCATGGAGTGTGGAAAGAGCTTCAGTTGCAGCAAGTCTGTTAAAATGCATCATATAATTCACACACAGGAAAACCATATAAATCCATATGAATGCATGGAGTGTGGAAAGAGCTTCAGTGCCAGAAGCATGCTTATTAGACATCAAATAACTCATACAGGGGAGAAACCTTATGAATGCATGGAGTGTGGAAAGAGATTCAGAAACAGTGGCCACCTTAATGTGCATCAGATAACTCATACAGGGGAGAAGCCTTATGAATGCATGGAGTGTGGAAAGAGCTTCAGAAGCAGAAGCCACCTTAATGTGCATCAAAGAACTCATACCGGGGAGAAACCTTATAAATGCTGGGAATGTGGAAAGAGTTTCTTTGACAGTAGTACCCTTACTAAACATCAAAGAACTCACACAGGGGAAAAACCATATAAATGCATGGAGTGTGGAAAGAGCTTCAATCAGAGTGCCTCCCTTAATGTGCATCGACGACTTCATACAGGTGAAAAACCTTATAAATGCATGGAGTGTGGAAAGAGCTTCAGTGACTATAGTACCTTTACTAAACATCAAAGAACTCACAGGGGAGAAACTTTATAAATGCATGAAGTGTGGAAAGACTTTCAGTTGGAGTTCCTGCTTTAATGAGCATCAAAGAACTCATACAGGGGAGAAACCTTATGAATGCATGGAGTGTGGAAAGAGCTTCAGAAACAGTGGCTACCTTAATGTGCATCAAAGAACTCATACAGGGGAGAAACCTTATGAATGCATGGAGTGTGGAAAGAGCTTCAGATCCAGTGGCTACCTTACTTTGCATCAAAGAACTCATACAGGGGAGAAACCTTATAAATGCTGGGAATGTGGAAAGAGTTTCTTTGACAGTAGTACCCTTACTAAACATCAAAGAACTCACACAGGGGAAAAACCATATACATGCATGGAGTGTGGAAAGAGCTTCAATCAGAGTGCCTCCCTTAATGTGCATCGACGAATTCATACAGGTGAAAAACCTTATAAATGCATGGAGTGTGGAAAGAGCTTCAGTGACTATAGTACCTTTACTAAACATCAAAGAACTCACAGGGGAAACTTTATAAATGCATGGAGTGTGGAAAGAGCTTCAGTCACAGCAGGTCCCTTAACATGCACCATAGAATTCACACAGGGGAGAAGCCATATAAG